CCTCGCGACCAATGAGGAGCGAGCGTCTGTTAATCCGACGTGACGGCGTCGGTAACAACGGTTAATGTTATGTTCAGCGACCAATGAGATAACGGCGTCCACTCGGAGTCAATGAACGATGAAAGCGTTCATTCCAGTTTGCGCGTCCATMCCACTTAACATTGTTTTTTTTCCCGCGAACAATGAGAAGACGAGATCTTTAACGGCATCCATCTAGTTCAAGGTGGAATGTTAGCGCGTCCATTCCAGTTAGCGCGTCCATTCCACTTAATATTGATTTSAATAAGAAAGTTAATCCCTCGTCTTTGAGCGAATTTATATATATGAAAATCGGTCATGGAGCCCCKTCGCAAAAAAATTGTCACAAGMGATGAAGTTGAGAAATGGAAAAGAATATGGACCTTTTAAGAAAGTGGTCTAGAAGTCTGGTGAGAAGTCTCACCAAAGAGTTTGCAAAGTTGAGTTTAGAAGAAAAACAATCTGGCGAAGAGAGAATAGAATTCAAGACATCAACATCAAACAATGACAATTAAATATGTGAAATGTTCTCGAAAAAAACAGAAGAACTTCACGTGCGAAACAGTTGAACCATTCAACAGTGACAAGAGACAAATATGTATCGCTCTAAAGAAACAGCCATGACTCGATGATCACTATAAACAGAATATTTAGCAACAACATTTTGCTTCTGAAGTGACCGTCATGTTTSTTGACTAGAATTTATCAAAGCGATAGGAGCACCATGTCTCAGTCTAACCACAGCGAGGAGGAAGATTTGAGTTCRGACAGTAACCATTCTGATACCTCAGAAGAAAGCAGCGAAGAGAGTAGGGAAGAGCACTTTGACCAGTGAGGAGCAATAGAGGCAAGGACATATCTCGAGGAACTTTTGAATTATCCTGACAAAGGCCTTTTGGAACATGAAATAATCATCACTGTCAATCATAATAAACTGCTCCAAAACGATTAACTGTGTACTTATTGCACAAACCAGAGAATGACCACCAGGGTCAGGAAATATGGTACTGCGATCCAAAGGATATTCAGTCTAGAATGCAAATTATAGTGGATWKTTTTRATYATAAAACCATTTATTGCTGCCAGGTTTTAGAGGCGCTTGCCGAATTTGTCCTAGCTTTCCTTGGCGTCCATCCATTTTCAAACGCCAATGGAAGAACTATCAAGTTTCTAATATGGTACGTTTTGAAAAGCTTTTGCGAAGTTAAAACCTTCTATACTATTAGCTACAGTAGATGGTGCAACATAGAGTATCACAAGTCTCGAAGATTCTCTGTTGAATTGGTTTCAAACTATGATAAATTGATAATACTCGCAARCACGATGATGTATCAATGAAAATAAAAATAGGTCAACGATGATCCATTCATGTTTTCCAAAAAAAATATTATATGTAATAAGTAAACCTTTTAGTTTACAGAATCGTTTGAATAAAATGTTACAGCAATGGTTTGCGTCAGAAGTGGTTTATTATCCCATTCCAATCTCTTTTCTGGGATCATTCCGAAAGATTTCCGGAGTCTTTCCGGGGGCGCTTCGGACCCTTTCCGGGCCATCCGGAGAGCCTCGATCCTTTCCGGGCCTTTCCGGGCCTTTCCGGGCCTTTCCGGATCAATTTTCCGGACCATTCAGAAGTTTTCCTCAACTTTGCAAACTCTTTGGTAAGACTTCTCACCAGACTTCTAGACACCACTTTCTTAAAAGGTCCATATTCTTTTTCATTTCTCAACTTCAACTCTTGTGACAATTTTTTTGCGACGGGGCTCCATGACCGATTTTCTTATATATAAATTCGCTCAAAGACGAGGGATTAACTTTCTTATTGAAAAACAATATTAAGTGGAATGGACGCGCTTACTGGAATGGACGCGCTAACATTCCACCTTGAACTAGATGGATGCCGTTAAAGATCTCATCTTCTCATTGGTCGCGGAAAAAAACAATATTAAGTGGAATGAACGCGCAAACTGGAATGGACGCGCTAACATTCCACCTAGAACGAGATGGATGCCGTTAAAGATCTCGCCTTCTCATTGGTCGCGGATTCGCTGAACATAACATTAGGCGTTGTTATCGACGCCGTCAAGGCAGATTAACAGACGCTCCTCATTGGTCACGAGGCGCTTCGTCGCTTTTCATTGCCTGCTCCTCAGCTCCTCCGCTCGTCATGTTGCAAAAGTCCCATTTGTATACTACTTGTCACATATTCTTTTTTCCTGATAGGATCAAATGGCGGTGGTGCAGGCAGCTGAAATGGCAGGAAGGGTGGGGCAAACACATGTACCATTGCCTAAAAGGTTAGATATTTACAGCTACAATGCCTCAAAGTGTAACCACTGATAATTTATTTGCTGGATTCTTTCCCTGAATATGATAAATCATTTAAATTTCAAGCCTAATTGTCAACATTATTCACTGTGAATGAAAGGATTAGAATTACTAGAGTACATTTGAAATGAAAGTAGTTACAAAATCACATTAGCAATACAAGCAATGAAATTTTAATTATTATTGCATGTATATAACCAGTTTTTGAAATCTCATGTTGTTTGTATTAATTTTATTTCCTCATAATGAGTTGTTAGAGTGATATCACATATGCAATGTTTTGCATGCAAATGAGTTTTGCGAGTAAATTAGTATGATAATTAAGTGCCCACATGCCTACATTCTTCAATGAAACAGATGAAAAGCATTGAAACAACTGATTTATATTTTATTTTTGTTTTGAAGATAGAACATTACACAAAATAAAGATTGATGTAATTTCTATCATCCAATTCAACTTTTTGACTTCCATTTGTGACTTTATATCCATAAAGAGACCTTTCACTTTATCTAAAGTTGTCATAGCCTTGTAGCGCATGGCTCATCTTCAAGTTTACTTCACCCTCACTGTCAATTGACGATGTAGAAAATTCTTTTAATATTCTTTAAATATATTTCGAATCTTCCGCTGTGCTGGGGTTGCTTTCGCCGCGTATTTTATMTGGTTTGATTGAATAGAGGTATCAATGCCTGTACTTGTAGAACGTGGAGGTAGCGTTGAACAGCCTTTTTAACAATATTTTGCATACTGTTGATAACCTTGTCTGGCAAACAGCCCATGATTATTTGAACAACACGAAGACGCATTAAAGTAGAATACGAAATACCTATAAAGCTATAGGAAGCATCTGGAGACATCCGAAAATGGTTGATGCCTGTTTGTGTCGAGCTTGTGGCATTTTTGGCCGAGAGATGTGTTGATCTTTTCCAACAAATATGAACGGAACACGTATTACGTGCATGCTATATACACAGTGTGTAAGTTGGATGTTATGAATAGTAAAAATTGCAATATGCGTATACATTGGGAAACAGTCAAATATTCACTGTTTGATAATAAGTCRCAAATATATATAAATTAGAAAAAGCGTAGATTTCCTAAAGATTTATTTTTGTGTCAAATGTTAATCTTAAAAACAAAAATCATGCATGTATTGTGGGTAGTGAAGGAGCTTATTTTAAGTGGTTTGGTGTCCATGTTCCATTCAGAAGTTGGACCATCAYTTAAAAAACCGTCTATGAAAATCCTTGGAGCTGCCACAATTATGTCAGAATTCAGAATTTCTATATACATTTCTATATATTTCATGCCGACATGGCCACCGTCTTGGCAGGTTCATCATCATGTCAACGGCGACTACCATGGTGACGTAATTGCGCGGTTCATTTCARTAAAACAAGGAACTTTTCACTTTTCAGAGGGAAAATATAGTGTTTTAAGTATGAATTCCTGTCCGTTTTGTCTTTTTCGATCCATTATTGCATCCTGGTACCCGTTGAAACTAGAGAAAATTACCCACGTAATTGCCGCCATCTTGGTAGTTCCATATATCAGCGGTAACTACCATGGTGACGTAATTGCGCGGCAAAGGGCGCGAAATAAAGTTCAAAACAATGTGTTTGTTTGCAATTTTCGTAGTTTAGACCTATTTTAGTACTTAAGATGAACTTTTGACAAGACAAATGCCACACTGCATGGTCATATTTCTCTCTTGTCGTTGAAGATGCGCCAAAATCCCTTAGTAATCTTTGAGAAGGAACTTCAATTAATGAAATAACTATTGGGTTAAGGTAAAGTGGAGTTCTCCCTTAGTAACTTGCCTATTCAGCACAGTGTCCTTTAGTTTGACATTTACAGTGCGGACATGCCTGTCAACTCCCTTACTGTTAACTAATCTTCCTAGAGGCCTTTTGCCACGAGGGATGTCTGGAGCGATGATGACAACCAAATCTCCAACCTTTAGATCCTCTTGAGTCTTTTAAGCCATTTTCCACCGGGGCTCAAAGCTGGCAACTACTCTTGCAGCCATCAGCTCCAAAAGTGTCGAACTAATTCCTGAACACGACACCATCTTTTCCTCAGATTGAAATCCGTGTTGTCTACTGTTTCAGTATCAAATTGTCCACCTAATTGTCCATGTAAAAAATGATTGGGTGTCGACGGAACTTCATTCGATGCAATTGCCAACTGGGARGTCAGGAGGCGAGATATCTGAATATCTGATATCTGAATTTCCCAAAATTCTCGGTTTTCACGTGACGTCATAAGGCAAATACCATGATTYCATATGTGGAGATCCGACATGTTGGTGACCCTCAGAGCGTGAAATTCTTTAGAAAAATAGGCCAAGTCTTTACAAAAGTGCTGTATAATCTCGATTTTTTCGTTATGCCGACCGATTTTAAAGCTGAAAAAAGTGGTAGCGACGTAGGAGACRTTAAAGAATATGTACCGGTGCTTTCAGAATACGGTAAAGGTTTAGAATCACACATAAAGCTGCGTTATATGGAGAAGATTGCTTCGATTGGAATTGACCAGGCTGCCGTCCACAAGGAGCAGTTTAAAACAGAATGTTTGCCTCCAATTGAAGCAACATACGTTTTGAGCTATCTGGTTTTTGTACTACACCAAACAGCAGTTCAAGGCTTATAAAAGATTAGAGGCATTCAATCAAATGGTTTCTGGCTTTGTAACTTCAGTTTGTGGTTTTGTTGTGGCCGGAAAGGTGAGACATTCACAACGTATGAGCGATCCTCTTATTCCAATATGGATTGCATGTGAGAATGATGGAACAATCATTTGTGCCCATTGCCTAGGATGTAAGGCAGGAGCCGCCACGTTGCCAGCGTCATGTTTTACATCGAAGCGTGGACAAGGATAAACGGCAAATTAGCAYGCACTCAAGTAAAATGCACGTGGATCCTCCCAACTGAAGTTAATGAAGTAACTTATGAGTCGGACGGGCTCCAGCTGATTGATATTACCAGAGATCACTACATGGACCAGCTAATCACCTTTCCTACTCGCGGCGAAAATACGTTAGATCTTATTTTCACCAATAGATATGTCATTCTCCCGATATGTTAACTGACTATGCCGGAGTGGCTTGTACTCTGAATGTATCAGTCCCGTTTAATCGAAAGCTACGTCATAAAATATACCTGTTTAACCGTGGTAACTATGACTCTCTACGAAAAGAACTTGAGGAATTTAGGCAAACGTTTCTTCAATCTACAACAATCGATTCAGATATCGAGCATGATTGGGATCTCATTAAGACAGCCCTAAAACAAGCAATGGACTATGATATTCCATCAAGACGGTCACTGGACGAGACAAGCTCCCCTGGCGTGAACTGGGCATCTACCTGAAACATGCGGCTTGAGCCCTCCAAATGCAAGATCTTAAGAATAACAAGGAGAACTCGTAACAAAATTAACCATCTTTATACTTCTGGAAATGTCCCATTTGATTCTGTATCACACGTGAAATATCTTGGATCTGCGATRGAATCGACACGTGGTCGATGTGAGTAGCCAAGCAAGCAAAAAGAAGAAAATAAAGGTAGCAGCATACATTGGATTGGCGAGACCGCCTCTTGAGATTAGTTATGCCGTTGTCAGCTTCCGCTTGCCGACTCTGAATTTTACAACTATGGTACAATCTTTTGATCTCTGTCTCAGCTGCAGAATTGGAACTCTGGTCCCTCCCACCAGTTTATATCACTGACCAAGGGCCTTAACCCTCGGCTCAGCTTATTTGCAGGGTCAAGTTTTGTTAGTGTATAATCCATTGAGATGGTTCTGTCCTGGATTGGATTTTCCCAATTCTGTTGGCGACAAATGGCTTAAACTGACCTGACTGACTTCTTACCCAGTAGAGTACATCTTGACTGTCAGACCAGAAGATTACTTGATTGACTTCTATTCCACAAACTCTTACGGCTTTCTCTGCTATCTATATCCCTACAACGGCAGTCATTAACTCTAATCTTGGTAAGCTTATTGCACGGAGAGGTGTTACCTTGGCTTTTGACATTTCAAAGCGAACTGTAGTGTCTCCTGATTCATAACARTGTCTCCTATAGGCAACTGCTCCATAAGCTTCTTGTGATCCATCAACTAACACATGAAGTTGCGTGTCATTAATCACACCAGATCTTTTCAGTGATCTTGGTGGGAGGGGGGGCYTGAACAAAAAATGTTAACTGGTCTGGCTCAGACATCCATGAAATTGCAAGTGTCTTAACTACAGGCATAATATCAGCTTCAAGATCCAAACTGTTTACACAATCTTMTCTTTGAATTTCTTTCAACACGTCGGACTTCTTAGGCATCCACTTCTTTGGTGTCATACCTGCTTTATTCCACAGTCCATTTAATTCATGGTATAAACTGATTGCCTCCTCAACAGTCTCTGTGGAGTGCATGCTATCYGTCCATTAGAGTGCGAAAACGGAAACTGTGATGCATTAACTTGCATTGTGTTGTGCAACTAATTCTACTTTTATTTGAGGTAATACCAGTATGCGTCCTGTGCTTTGAGCCTTGCTCCTAATCCTTTGATTGTTTCAAGGGCTTTCCAGCTTTCAGCCTCTTCATTTATGAATGGATATAAATTGTGAACTGGTCGTTCCATAAGTTCATGTCTAAAGCGTGGATTTCACTAGCGTATAAGCATAGCATAAGCACAAGCATGAAAATCATATGCGCCAGTGAGAACCGGCTTGACATAAGCATAAGACATTGAGCATGCGCACGAGCCTATTATTTCGGTACCAGGCTATGCTTATGCCTATGCAGTCATTTCAATYTTCAAATGCCTCAGAAAATAAAATTCAAACAACTTTTTTTCTTCAAAACAATGATTAACATCATATTTGCCTTTTATGAAAAATGATTTTCTAAAAGGGTTGATGTGCACTTAAAAAATACCCTAAAAAGTCTCTTTTTTAAAAAAGACCCTCACAACACCTACTTGAGAAAAACGTTGTMATAGAAAATAGGACATTTGTATTTAGTAAAAAGGAACAAATTAAAAAAGACAAAAGAAGATCACTGAGACTGAGCGYTCTCTTTTGTCTTGTTTTAATTTATTCCTTTTTTACTAAATTCAAATTCTATTTTCTATGACAACGTTTCTGCAAGTAGGTGTACATGTATACATTGTATCTGAGTTCGAAAAGGAATCTATGAGCCGATTTTCATATATCTAAGAATTTGTGACAATTGTCATAATGACGTGGGTATAAAGACAGACCCTGTTGAACTATCGTTATTTTTCATATAGGTATTCAGAAACCTAAAGTGTATGAATGACAGCCAGTAAACCCAACATCGTATCACATAAGCAATGTTTTGCATGCAAATTAGTTTTGTGAGTAAAATAGTATGATAATGAAGTACTCACGTGCATACTTGCTTTGAGAACAATGAACCAGCTGAAAATCATCACAACATACACAACTRATTTTTGTTTTTAAGATGACAAATATAGATCTATAGGAAGTCCATTTATATATTTGCGTAGGCTTATTATCAAACGGTGAATATTGGACTGTTTCCCAACCTATATGCATATTGCAATTTTTACTATTCATGACATCCAACTTAACACTATAAAGCATGCACGTAATGCTTGTCTCGTTTATATTTGTTGGAAAAGATCAACACGGCTCTCGGCCAAAAATGCGTCTTCGATCGTTCAAGTATACATGGACTGTTTGGCAGACAGGATTATCAATCGTCTGAAAAATATAGTTAAAAAGGCCGTAGCTTCATCGCTACATTCTTTAAGTACAACRTCGAAACCTATTTATGTGCAGGAACAAGAACAGGTGCAATCAAACCAGATGAAATACGCGACGAAAGCAACCCCGGCGCAGCGGAAGGTGTAAAATAAATTGTACAAAGAATTTCTATGTCGTCAACTGACAGTTAGGGTGAAGTAAACGAAGATGAGTCAASAAAGAAGAAAACAGACAGGGAAGTATCACGCGAAGCTCAAGAAGCTGACAAAGATTTGCGTGGCAATGCTATGACAACTTTAGATAAAGTGAACAGGCTTTACGGATATAAAGTCACAAATGGACGTCAAAAAGCGGTTAAATTGGATGCTACAATTACATCGATCTTTATTTGTCAAATTTTCATCTTCAAAATAAAAATGAAATAAAAATCAATTGTTGCAATGCTTTTCAACTGTTCACTGAAGCTTGTAGGCACGTGCTCACTTCATTATCACGCTATTTAATACTCGCAAAACTAGTTTGCATGCAAGACATTGCTTATGTGATATCGCTCTAATGACAACCACTAAAATGCTTTCTTTTTAAATTCCTAATACCGAAGAATTGCTGGAGCACACATTAAAAAATCGAGTTAAATTTGAGTCCCTCTAGCTCTCCCTATCTTAAAGTTGATAACTGTACCAATTTTGATTGAGGATCTATGAGCAGATCTTCTTACAGAATATACTTAGTCGACTGGTTAAAGTGAATTTATGAATTATTATGACTTATCAGATTCGAAAATATCAAAAAATTGAAAAGCACAAAAGAGTTTGATGTTCTTGTGATTGGTGGTGGGGCAACAGGTAGTGGAGTTGCATTAGATGCTGTAACAAGAGGTAATTCAATTCTTGACAGAACTCATTTATTGAATGTTCAACACTTACAAGAGACCTGTTTATTATACAGGTTTAACTACAGTCATTGTCGAGAGAGATGATTTTTCTGCAGGAACTAGCAGTAGAAGCACAAAACTAATACATGGTGGTGTAAGATATTTACAGAAAGCTATTACAGGCTTGGACAGAGAGCAGGTCAGAGTCATCTATTTTGGTTACTTTGAAATGTAAATAATTCTATTGCTACCTAAATAAATGAATTTTGTGCATAATTAATAGTACAAATTAGTAAAGGAAGCCCTTCATGAACGAGCAAACTTACTGGCCATCGCTCCTCATCTTTCTTCACCGCTCCCAATAATGTTACCTGTCTACAAGTAAGTTTTWACAATAATAGAAACACAGAAAAGCAAATTTTACATATATCGGTATATACATGTACATTCAATTGAAGAAATTCTGGCCGCTAGCTTATGCATGTTACTATAAATGTCTATGACCAAGAGTAACGATATGTYACAAAACAGGCTCTTAGGGATGAATGTGTACTTAATTACTTTGTCTTATATATCTTCCTCTGTCGTATTGATCACTGCATTATAATAAAAAAATTGGATCAGTGGTGTTTCTTTTTACCTTTTTTGTATTCTATTCAACATACTTATCTATAAACATTTCTATATTTTTTTACACTTAGAAGAAAAACACATAGATGATCTCCTCTAGATTCGTTTACATTTACTTATTTTGTATACTTTAACATTTAAGTAGGCAAATACTTAATATATTACTTCAGGGAAAGCGCGCGCGTACGGGATTTTCGCACAAAGTGTCGAAACAAACCCAACGAGTGCGAAAAACCTGTACAAAATGCGCTTTCCCTTAGTTATTTGTTTCATTTATTCTGTGATTTAACATGGATTTTATTAAAATCTGTTACAAATTTACAAACTAACCTTGTAATGTAGGTGACCGCAAAACTTCGATAATACTTCAATAATACTTCGATGAAAAAGAATGGAATGTATAGAAACAATATCCTGTTAATAAGTTAGTTATTTAAGGTGTCTTAAAGTTCTAAAAACGTGAAGTAAAGTCATTTTGGGAGAATCAGAAATTATTTTGTCAGGCGTCATAGGCACTTTAATTTTGTGAACTGGAAAAAGAAATTGGCCTAATCCCATAACTTGTGACGCGGAAAAGCGTTAATAATAATACTTTATTGGATTCGATTTTGGCTAAATTTTGTCAAATTATATGCGATTAACAAAGAAATTTCTTGCTTCTTGCAAAAAAGACAATCTTCGTTGCAGGCAGCATTCGCCTTTTCCATAGTAAAAACAGCAAAAATTGAAAAGTAAACTCACACTAAACTGTAGAAAAAGAGATCTCAACGGATTTTTCTCTAACCCCGACCTCGGTTTAATGCGCGCGTCGCGCAGATTTGTGGGAAGTATCCAGGGAGGTCCATTCCAATCTCATAACATAAATGAGTGCCCATTCATTCTTTTCTTTCTCTCAAGCAATAGTTGGGCGGCCTATAAACGCCCTTTACAAAAAGACGAAAAACGTCGTGTCGGATTTAGATCTCGTGGTGGGCTTTTATTCGCTCATATTAATTTTTTTTCAATGAATCTCGCTATTGGTTTATCTAGATCTTTTTGCATTATCAGACATATTGATACTCGAATTTCAAACATCAAAACTTCAAACTACTTACCAAAAAAGCTGCATGAAGTCTCAATGACAGGTGCTTTGTGATTGGACGAAACGATTTTTTCACATGTGAGATTGAGTCGGAGTAAAGAAGGATTAACGTCCGAAACGTCAGTAAGTTATTTCACCTACTTTTTTTACGGTGTTAAATTTATCTTTTTACACAACTGATATAATGATATATGTTAGCGGCCAGAATTTTTGCAAATGGTTGTTAATAATTGTATGGAAGGTTTTTAGTATTCACAATTTGTTCCTTGCTAGGAAACATAATAATTCCTATGTCACTGTGCATACTACCAACTTGGTTTAAAATAYGAAAATATCATWAAATAAGAAACATTCATCATTGTAGGTGGTGGCAATTGCCATATTTTTGGGCCGGCATCAAAATGTATGACTTGGTATCTGGAAGACAGGTGGTCAAAAGTAGCTATTTAGTTGGAAAAGAGAAGGCCTTGGAGCTTTTCCCTATGTTGAAAAAAGATAAACTCTGTGGTGCTATTATTTATTATGATGGTGAGGTTTGTTACTCATTTAAATGGCTTTTATTTGTGTAATGTTTTTAACTAGTTTTCAAGATAAATATTACTTGGAAAGGTTGTAGTTAGATTTGGCATCCTTGGTGTGAATCTGTCCATCTTTGATATAATTATATCTTATAGTAACACGATATTAATACATTGTGTCGATGTCATGTCGATGTCATGTCGATGTCATGTTGATGTGATGTCGATGTGATGTCGATGTCGTGCCGATGATGTGTCGATGTTGTGTCGATGTCACATGTCGATGTCAATTATTCAAATTTACACGCTGAGTTAATTTCTTGAGTATGTGAAATGGTCAGCAGTTTAGAACTTAAAAAGCAGGCGCCCAGATCTTTAATACTATAAAAGCGAGGGGTTTGTGTCAAGTTTATCATTTGAGAGCTGAACTTCAAAGCGATAGGAACACCATGTCTCAGTCTAACCGCAGCGAGGAGGACGATTTGAGTTCTGACAGTATCCATACCGATACCTCCGAAGAAAGCAGTGAAGAGAATAGTGATTCAAGTGATGTTGATTCAAGTGAAGAGCAGGAGGATATCGATGTCTGGGCAAGAATTCAACACCAAGCTATGGATAGATATCAGCRAGAATATGAAGTACTGGTCCAGAAATACAAACAAAATGGCGATAGCGATCAAGCAGCAGAAATCAAAGCAAATAATGCTTTGCTTCCATCATATAGAAAAGAGCTGAGGGAGGTTCTGTTTGACGAGCTAAAGTAGATGCATCTATTCAAAAGCGATCCTATTTATAAAAAGATAAAAGATACACAGAAAAACCTCATGGATATGGAGGGATATGACTGGGAAGAAGCAAACCAATCGGCCATTCATCAAAGAACGTTTTTGTTGAACAAATTGTTCGCAAAAGAAGAAGTCCCAAAGCAAAGCGTAAAAGAAAGATTCCATCCCTACAGTCGTAACTTATTTAGTGGTTTTGATTGAAAGCTTGCATTGCCGGATAACATGATAACAATAGAAAGAGAGATTTTGAATAGCGAAGAGCACTTTGACCAGTCATCAATGCAAGGAGCAATAGAGGCGAAGAAATATCTCAAGGAACTTTTGAATTATCCTGACAAAGGCCTTTTGGAACATGAAATAATCATCAGTGTCAAT